TCAGCTTAATGTCCCATCCTTTGGGAAGTCTTTGCAAGCCTCCCAGGCCTGACTTGGATGCCGTTCCTCACGTTGCCCCAACGCCCTGTTCTCAGGGCACTGTCGGGTATCTCTTGTGTCTTTTGTGCCGCTCTTGTGTGGAGTCTTTGCTAGCAGAGACTGTGCAGAGCGTCTCACAGGAGTGCGCTCTGTGCCCAGCCTACCTATGGGATGGATTTGTTAAGTAATCCGTGGGTGGAGCAAAGGGGGCAGGAAGGGGAGCAGTTGGAAATCAGACTGCAAAGGCGTGCCCCACCACCGTCACCACCCCATTTTCCAGGGAAGGAAACCAAGACTCAGCAGGTGACTGACCTCTAGAGTCACGCGTTTAGTAAGTGACAGAGCATCTTTGATTCCCTGTCTCCTGACCCTGTCTGTGCCCGGGCTCTCTCTGCGGCCGCTCAGCTGCAACCAGTGGGAAGGAGCCAGCAAAGCCTGAAGGAAGGCGGAGCAGGGGCGGGAGGCCTCGGGATCTAGGACACGGGTGGGGGCTGGGCCCCACAGCTACCACCCCGGCTCCTCTGAGCCAGAGAGGAGGGAAGAACACTGGGCCAAATTTCTAGATCAGATGCTTGTTCAGACCATCCTGGGAGCCTTGGGTGGGCCAGTCCTCCTCTGGGGAGGAGCAGACTTGTGGAGAGTAACTCAGCATCTCCCTCAGCACCCAGCCCACCCGAGTGGCCTCTTCCTGCTGCAGCAGGAGAGTGGTTTCTCAAGGCCCCCCTGCTGAGAGAGGCCAGGGCCGAGGCCGGCTGGGAAGAAACGGGAGCCTCACACAAACAGGCGGAAGCTGGCCCCGGGCCGAGGGCCCAAGTGGAGAATCCATGGGTCAGGTTCAGAGGCTCCAGTTAGTTATCAGACATCTAAAGGAGCTCACATGTGCCAGGGCAAGTGGACATCAGTGAAACAGGGACGGTAAGGCCCATGTCTCATGTGACTATGGTGGGGATTAAGTACAATGAAATACGTAATAGGATTAGGGTAATTCTCAGTGCCTAATATTACCTAACCAACTGTAGTTATTTTTTAACAGGGTTGTTGGGAGGAGTCTATGGGATCATATGGTGGACGAACATATAAAACTGTGTGAGTGTTGGTGAGCAGTCTTTTTCTCACCAGGAACTTGGTAAATGAATGAGGACAATGTGGAACATCCAGTGGACAGAGAAAAGGGGTGTGGACTCAAGTGACCCCGGGACCTTCCTCCGTTCCTTTGGTTTCTTCACCTGACAAGTGCATCAGAGACTACGTGAGTCGGTTCTGGGAATGGCTTAGAGACAGCACAGCTTAGTCCTCCAGCTTCTCGTGAGTCTGGTGGGAGCAACTGGACCCAGGCTGCGCACAGCACATCACCAGCTCAGACCCAACACTGTTCCCTGCATGCTCAGGTCAGCCCCAGCTCAGGACGTGCCTCTCTCTGCCGGGTCAGTGGTGGGCTTTTCTTCCTCAGTGGTCCGTGCCCACAGCCAAAGTCAGTGGGTCTCCTGCCGGCTCTGAGCACCTCTGTCTCCAAAAAAGCTCCCTGCGTTGACACTCTCGTCCTATCTTCCCACAGGGGGCAGCTGAAAGTAACTGAAAGCTGCTTCCAGCTCCGTCTTCCCCTACAGAGTTCTCCTGCCCTGGGCCTCTCTTGGAGAGGTTGGGGGCAGGTCAGTGGCATGTATGCACGCGTTGCCTTCCCCAACTTTCCTTCAGCACTGGGCAAGTGTGAGCATTGCCCTTCCCCTCAGACAGAGCCCCCTCCCTCCTTCCCTCCCCACTTCCCTCCCTCCTTTCTTCTTAAAATGACACCCCCATCCACACACACCTTGCCGTTGAGTTTGTCTGGCAAGAACATTTCTGAAGGACCCCGAGTCTGTGTTCCTGTTACACAGGTGGGGTTTCTTTACTGAAAAACAATTGCCAGAGAAAGCAGATAATGAAATGTCAGACTTGCTAAGAGCTCATTTGACCCCAAGGACAGGCTGACATCCAGAAGGCAGATTGAGTAACTGAGCTTACATCTTACTAAATCACTTGGATTTTACTTTCTGGATAAAAAGTTATCAGTCTGTGGCCACTACAGTTACTTTGAAGACATGGATCATTCTTATGGCCTCTGGAAAGAAAACCCCCCCAACCCTGTATCCCATTTCCCAAAGCAAGGAACACCAGACCTCGTCACTCATCCTTCCAGCCAGGAGAGCTGAGAGGCCAGCGCAGGACATGCTTAGAGAAATGTAAGGAAGAAACTAATAGCATTTCTCATGAACTGGGCTTCCCAGGTGGCGCTAGTGGTGAAGAATCCACCTGCCAATGCAGGAGATGCCAGAGACTTGGGCTGGATCCCTGGGTCAGGAAGATCCCCTGGAGAAGGAAATGGCAACCCACTCCGGTATTATTGCCTGGAAATTCCATGGACAGAGGACCCTGGCGGGCGGTAGTGTGTAGGGTTGCAAAGAGCCGGACACGACTGAGCACNAAAATGAGGTACTTCACACTGGAAACTTCTAATACATCTGTGAAGCAAATCCTTATCTTCAATACCACAACTGAAATTGGTCCTCAGTGTCACTAAATTTGGACCCTGATGGTTTTGAACTGTGGTGTTGGAGAAGACTCTTGAGAGTCCCTTGGACTGCAAGGAGATCCAACCAGTCCATCCTAAAGGAGATCAGTCCTGGGTGTTCATTGGAGGACTGATGTTGAAGCTGAAACTCCAACACTTTGGCCACCTGATGCGAAGAGCTGACTCATTTGAAAAGACCCTGATGCTGGGAAAGATAGAGGGCAGGAGGAGAAGGGGACAACAGAGGGTGAGATGTTTGGATGGCATCACGGACTCAATGGACATGAGTTTGGGTAAACTCCGGGAGCTGGTGATGGACAGGGAGGCCTGGCGTGCTGCAGTTCACAGGGTCGCAAAGAGTTGGACACGATTGAGCAACTGAACTGAAGTTTTATCTGACTCTATCTTTTAGAAGCAGAATTTTAAAATTCATAACAGACCTCAGTTCATGTAGGAAAATAAAACAATATATTTGCTACTTAAAGAGAAAATGATGAATGATTTTTCTTGTTTTCTTCCTGTCTGCTTACAGAAATCTCATCTGAATCATGTATTCACATGTATCTATTTCCTGAGAAAGAGAAGGAATATAACATAACAGCTGAATACACTGTAATTTCTCATTATAATGACATCTTTAAAAGGCTTTTTGCCAAGAAAACTGGTTTAGCATTTAGTTTTGGGGTTCACTTTTGCATAAATCACATAATGTCCAATTTGGTATTTTAGAATAAATTGATTAGCAAGTTATTTTAATAATTGTAAATGTTGAGGTTAGTAAAAGAAAAACTCCCAGCTTCAGATAGGCTGACAAGCATTCAAAATAATAATGTAGGATTTATTCCTTCAAGTTTATCATGTAATAAACAGAAAGTAAAATATGGTTCATATATTCACATCTATTCTATCTTAAACCTCCATAATCACAGGGTTGTTTTAGTCAAACACTGGGAATATCTAGAGCCATCAGAGGCATTTTTTCAGAAGTTAAAAGTAAATCACCAGAGCTTCTTTCCATTATGTCACATTAAATTCTAGTTCATTCCATATTTTCATGCTCTACTGATATACATCAGTGTGACCGACATTCACATAGAAGTAATGTCATATCTCAGTAAAATGATCTCCTCAACCCCCACATACTGACTCCATGAGAATGAGACCCCATACACAATAAATCATCATACCCAACTGAATATGTTTTGATTACAGTTGACAAAAAAGAAATGCCGATACTTTCGTCCTAATAAAAACTTTTTGTCCAAAAAGAAAAATACACTGCTATTGAGTAGAACAAAGTTCTTACAGTTTATTTGTTAAGTGAAGATGGTTGGTGGGAGAAGACACAGCACACTCATTTAACTGAATTACCTGTTGTAAGTAAACTCTGCTGCTAGGTAAAAAGAGTATAGCTTGTGGAATTTCACTAAAAAAGAAAAAAAGAAAAAAGTTCCAAATCTTTATACAGAACATCAGGCTTGCATAATTCTTAAGCAATACCACCTGCTTTCATTCACAATGCAAAGAATAAATGTGAACTGCATTTTCAGTGTATTATTCTAAAGCTGGGGCTTCCCAGATGGTGCTAATGGTAAAGAACCTGCCTGTCAATGCAGGAGATGTAAGAAAGGTGAGTCTGATCCCTGGGTTGGGAAGATCCCCTGGAGGAGGATACAGCAACGTACTCCAGTATTCTTGCCTGGAAAATTCCTGGAGTCTGATGGGCTACAGTCCATAGGGTCTCAAAGGTCAGACATGACTGAAGCAACCTAGCATGCACTCACACATCTAAACCTGGATAATTTAAATTCCTTTATTTATTAAACAGGCACTTGATTTAAGGCAGCATTTTGGACATCAGAGAAGATATAACAATGAATCAGAAGATAGGACCTCTGTCCTCAAAAAGGTTACATAGTTCTAAGGAAGAGTATATGGGTGTGTGTTCCTAACAATGTGAGACTGTGTGTAAAATGATGTGATAGGGGACTAATACCCTTGGACATTCAGAAGAGAAGTAAAACTCTTAAAAGGGAGGAGCAGGGAAGGTTACATTTAGACAGGATGGGGTTAGAATTCAACTACCATTGAAGGTATACCTGCACATGCCTGAGAAGAAACAGTCTTGAGCAACATAGAGAGCACTGTACATCCTGAGCCCAAATTAGCTATATAATCTGAGTAACATTTAAGAAACTACATAGAGACTGATTATGAAGACAACTTCAGGTCAGATTCTGAAGGCCTTGAACAGCAAGTGAAGGAATTCAAATTTCATTCAACAGACAGAGGAGAGCAATAGAAGCTTTTTGAGCTGGAGAGTGTGTTCATCAAAGTTGTACTTTGGGGGTATAAGTTTAGGTGGTTGACAATGGCAGGAGAAGAGCCAGCAGAGCGCAGATACCCGATCAGGTTACCGCACTGATCCAGCTGAGAGGGTAGGAACAGCAAGGGAGTGAGTGATGGACATGGGAGACACTGCAGAAGCAGAACAAACAAGATTTGAAGACTGGAAGTGGGAAGCGAGGGAAATGGAAGAATCAATGATGACTCACATTTTAAGCCTGGGTGATTGAGGAAATGGAAGTCAGGAGGAAAATCTGAGTTGAGAGGGAAGGATGAGGAAATTCATTTGAGTTCATATCCAGATGGCAGTTAGAAATACAGGGCTAAGGAGTTAGTTCAGAATTAATAGATTACTGATGTAATAGGTAATAGGTATAGATTTAATAGGAAATATATTTTAATCTACATGAGAGGAAAAGTTGAAGTTATTTAAATAAACTCAACAAATATAACATAGACTATGTTAGACCTCTAACATAAATAATTGAATATTTGTTTACATCAAAAAACTTTCCATAATTGGTATTTTGGTATTTTGTACCATTGGTAAGATGCAACACTGGATCAAAAAAAAAAAAAAAAAAAAACCCTGACAATATACAAGCAGCTGGGACTGGAAGTTTGTGTACTGAAACTAACAAAACCACAATGATACACAGCATTCCATGAATTCATTCCTTGGAACAAATATTCATCACTCATATTTGGAAGTTAAAATACTAAGCAAATCTAATTATTTGTAGCCACTCAAACTAATTTCTCTTTTCCTCTGAAATCAACACTGCTTTCTGGATGACCATAACTACCATAACTAATAATGGCATTAGTTATCATTAAAAATAATGTATTTTGTAAGAGTACTAATCCCAACAATGATCTGATATAAACATTAATAAATATGTTCTTACATTAGCATGCTCTTAATTGACCCATCTGTGACTTTCAAGTATACCTCCTTATTCTGCTATATTTTGAACTGTATTACCTTTACATTGAGGTATTTCATAAAGATGATTCTCAGTGTATTCTCCAAGCCTCACCTGGTTTGAGTCTCTCTGGAGGGCTGAGTTTCACATGCTGGTCTTCAGATGAAAGGCTCACACTGAGGCCATACAGTGGATCGTCCAAGAAAGAGGGCCTTTTCAGTCTCCCAATGCCCAGAGTCTTAGACATAAAGTAGTCTTCTGCATCACTAATAACATTGTCCTCAGAAAACTGAAGGCATTTCACATTCTCTGCTTCAAGGAGAAGAGCTGGTGACATGTGATGCCCAGCCAAGGCTTTGGTGAGAAAGTAGCCTCTAGATGTTTCACATTCTACATTCTTAGGCACATTTATGTCCTCCAGCTCAGTGCTTCGAACCTTTGTTTTTGACCTGCTTAATGACTCAGAGAGAATAGATCCAGAAGGTTGGGGGAACTCAGGTATCATATCCTCAATGTCTTTCTCTTCTCTTTCTGGAGACAGTCTAACTGTGGATTTTTGTTTGAACGAGCATTCATCCAGAAGACACCTTAACTGTTCCTCGGAGAGAAGTGAGGTTGAATCTAACTGATGAGACAAATCAAAAGTTTTCATAGTCAGTTGAATGAGTAAACACATTTATCTTCGGTAAGCTTTCAGTTATATAATATAAATGCAAGTAACAGAAAATCCTTTACACAAAACACCCAAATAGTACAATCATTCATTTTAAACCATTCAAAATTACAGGGGAAAAAATCACACATACCAAAATCCAGGAAAAGTCCCATGACACTGATGGAAATGAACTACTACACCAAACTAACCACTAACACTCTACATGTAGTAATAACCTTGGGCTGAAATGAAGATATTAGAAAAACCCTTCAATTTTTTAAGTCTCAGGGCATCAAGCAGGGTAGTAAGTAACCACTTCTTTGATAGAAAGCAAGAAATTCTGCCACAATATCTAGTTGGTGTTTCTCTGTTTCCTCCATTTCTGGGTTTGAACGCTATCACCACCCAATTCCTTAACTCAGGCAAACAGGGTGGATTAACCTGCCCCTGGGGATTCACCACTCCTATGTCTGTCTTCAACTTTCAGTGGACAATGCTACGGAAGACAGAAAAGGAAGGGAGAAGGGGTGATGCATCCTGAGATGTGTAGTGGCTTCAGTGCTATAGGTCGAGACAGAGGCCAGGGGCATTCCAACAGCAGTGCACTCTGGGAGGAGGATTTGATCTCTGTTTGTAAACATTATCAGGGCTGATTGTTTCAAACAAGATATTAAGGATTTTAAAACATTTTTTTCTCTTCCAGTAATGTTCTCAGGAAATAAAATTAATCAAACAAAATTATAGAGCTATGTGTTCTACAAGAATTCAACTGAACAGCATGCCACCTGAATTGCAACAATGATTGGAAAGGAACATGACTGAAATATATTGAAAGACTGAAAAAAATTCTCCTTCTTTAAAGAATTAGCACTGTACCTGATTTACATAGTAGATTATCTAGGATAACATTAATCCTCCTTTACAGGGGAGTGAATTATCTGGCAAGAAGAAGTCCCCATAAGAAAACCTAATCATGACTTGTAATGACCTTAACTTTTACTTCAATAAAGTAAAGCAATGTTATTGGTCTAATCTGTAGTACACAGTAAGAATTAACTGAATAGTCTGCATTTACAAAGTATTGGTGGGGAGCTATAATGGAACTAGTATAGTTAATTCCCCATAATTGCATAATGTCTCTAATGTAGCTAACAAAAAGTAGCATGTAAAAAGAACTTCATATCACGCTTTTAAAGTATATCATATGTTTTAAAATTATATTTAACTTCCATATATTAAAAACCAAGTTTCACAGTGGCAAGTAACATTAAGAGTTTGAAAGTAAGAAGAAATTGTCTAGGAATATATTCTTAATAATTATCTGGGATTCAAAATTCAGGTAATTCACCTTAAGGTTAATGTGCATGGCAAAAAAAAAATAGGAGTTGTAGCTTTTCTAAAAAAAAGAAAAAAGAGTTGTATCATATACTAGCAAATCCTACTTTTAATCACTAGACATTTCAGGTATCCAGATATAGTACTTTATCCATTACTAGCAGCATTTCCTTCACCCAACTATATAAAGCTAGACAGCTAGAACATGAAAGCAGTCCTTATATGGTACCAGATAACTAAAATACACTTTCAAAAACTGCTTAGATAAAATTCCTTGTAATGCGTAAACAATTCACTAGGATTTAGAAATGGTCCACTGATTGTTATACTCAGCAAATATCAAACCAAAGGCTTAACATATGAAATTTCCAGACCTTAGAAAAAAATCAGTCCATACTGGAGCAAGAGGGTGAAGGAATATGGAAGGAAGTCTCTGGGAGAGAATAAAAGAGAGGGTGGTGGAAAACTGGAAGATTATCTGATATGTTTGATCACATCCCCAAATAATATTGATAGGATAAATGCTTAGAAGTTCCAAAGATTTATTTAGCTAGATACACAGAAAATTAAGTCAAAGGAAAAATAATTATGAACTCTGAAAAAAGAAGCTATATGAAAAGAAAGGAAAGGCAGTTTTTCAGAGAGATTACAGAAATTAAGCAAAAGAAAATAATATGATTTTTAACTCTACAACAAAAAAAAAGTTGTACAAGAAAGGATACTATAGGATACTACTTATAAGCACTGAAATTGAAGCTGTGATCAAAAATCTCTCCAAAAACAAAAGCCCAGGATCAGTTGGCTTCACAGGAGAACTCTGTCAAACATTTAGAGAACAGCTAATGCCTATCCTTCTAAAACTGTTTCAAAAAACTGCAGAGGAAGGAACACTTCCAAACTCATTCTATGAGGCCACCATTACCCTGATACCAAAACCCGACAAAGACAACACAGAAGAAGAATACTACAGGCCAATATCACTGATGAACATAGATGCAAAAATCCTCAACAAAATTTTAGCAAACAGAATTCAGCAACACATCAAAAAGCTCATACACCATGATCAAGTTGGGTTGATTCCAGGAATGCAAGGATTCTTCAATCTATGCAAATCAATCAATGTGATACACTACATTAACAAATTGAAAGATTACAAACCATATGATAATCTCAATAGATGCAGAAAAAGCCTTTGACAAAATTCAGCACACATTTATGATTAAAACTCTTCAAAAAAA